GGAGTGCAGTGGCCGCTCCGGGCCACTGCAGCCTCGACCCACTGGGCTCCGGCGATCCTTCCGCCTCAGCCTTCCGAGTAGCCGGAATTACAGGCGCGCGCTACCACGCCTGGCTGATTTTTTGATTTATTGTAGAGATGAGGTCTCACTGCCCAGGCAGGTCTCGAACCCGCGGGCTCAGGCAATCCACTCACCTCAGTCTCCCAAAGGCGCGGGATTACAGGCTGAGCCACCAAGCCCGGCTTGCTCTATAAAAACAATCACCTCATAAATCCTGCCCACCCACCCAGACTCAATATGGTACCCTGGCTGCCCACCTGCGTGGCACACTTCCTAGTTCTCTGCAGTTCTTACCATAGTTTGTAACAACAGCCTAATCTAAGGGCCCTCGGATGAATGCCTTTCTTCCCTTTAAATTCCACAAGGACAGGAACCTCATCGGATTTGTTGAGCATTTTAGCCCAACTCTGGCCCTTGGCTGATAGTTAACACATATGGGATTCACTCCTGCCTTAAACGAGTACTCACGATGGGTCAGGTGGGTGCCATCGAGATTCTAGAGAGATGGTGCTGAACAAGGCTAACTAGTGCTCACGCTCTTCCTCTTTAGGGGCAATCAATAAAAAGCCAAACATAACAGACAGACACAAAAAGCACAAAAAAGAAACTCAATGAACAATGTCCAGTTAGTCTAAAAACACGCATGACATTTTTTCATACTAAAATTCTGTTTTATGACTGTTCATGTCCTCATAGGCATCTTCGTTTCTAAAGAGACCTCATTAAAATAACTCAAGTAATAATTTAATTTTTAAATAATGATTTTATTTTTCACTATAACTTAATAAAGTTGCAAAATAGAACAAAAAACAAAACCTACAGCCTTATGATCCAAACAAAACTATGTTTAGTATTGGAGCCTATTTCTTTCCCGTATTTTCCATGAATCTTTCTTCACTATCAGAGCAAGCACAAAACACACAATGTTCTCTGCTTCTCATACCTGACACTAACCTCCTCCTAAGAGAGTTAGTGAACATCACAAAATGGTCTCCTTCCAACAGGGAGAAAGGTCTCATTGGCTGCCACAGCTCCAGCTCATCCAGCCCTTTCTGCTCTCCTAAGCCAATCGTACTACCCACAAGGCGCAGGCCTCAAGCACCTTTGCCTGCAATTAATAGCTGCCTTGATGTTTAAACAGGCTCATTTTCAAAGAGCCAGAGCAGGTGCCCACATATGCCAGTCATTCTCTTTTCCCACATTCTCCTTGCTTCCATTTTCTTGAAAAGATATCACATTTTTTAGAAGAATTGTTTTCTTCCGTATCTTCCTCATTTTTTTTGTTGTTAAATATTACAGAACCGAAATAATAAATGCTTATTGTTTTTTTTTTAAAATTACAGAACTTTTTCCAGCTTCTATAAAATAAAAATGATATGAAAATACTCATGAGCTAGATTTTGGGAAAGAATCAACAATTAGGCAGCAGGAGTTGAAATGGATGCTGAAATACAGAGGCTGCAGGCCACATTCACCATCTGAAGCTGAAGACACTGCCTGTCTTTTTGGGGAAATAATGGGTAGCAGGTGGTTCTGGTAAATTAGCAAGGCGCAGGTTACCCTAATGTTTACCAAGTTGGCAATAATCATAGTTGAATATTTTCCTTTAATAGTAAGTAGAGGCTTAAAGGCACTGACAGATTATGAATAAACAGAAAAGAGAAGATATTTCTCCTACAAATAGTTTGGGAGCTCAAAAACAAAACAAAATAAAATAGTACATGGGTTACCAAAGTGATTTTTTTAAACTGGCTGGGAAAGTATCCTGGCAATTGAAAGCAAGACGAAATTCACTAGCCTGGCTCCTTCAACATTTCTAGCAAAATAGCACACAACATTAATTCTCTTTACATAAATACAAATGAAAACAAGCCTGCAATGCACCACATACAGAATACATTTAATAAAATGATGCGGAACAATGAAATTTTTAGAGACAGTTACAGTACTGGGATCTTGTCTCAGAATACCTAATGTTTTGGAACAAGCTAATTCATTGGAGAATAGGGGAGAAAATATGCACGTTGAGAAGGGAGGATTCGTGGTTCTTTTAGCCTGTGCTCCAGTTTTAAGAAAAACAGATTATGCCTTTAGCCATAAGATTCCTTGAATGGTAAATAATAATAATAATGCCAAGTGCTATGATTTTACTTTTCTCTGAAATAAACATCACTAGCACTTTCCTTAGTTTGATGCACACAAAGCAACATGCAAACAGGGGACAATTTGACAATATCCTTTCTAAAATTCCAATCCTCTAGAAGCAACAATACTGATCATTTTTGAATGATTGTGATTAATTCAAAATAAGTAACTCAAGGAGTTTTAAAGCATTTGGTAGCACACCAGAGACCAGTTCAAAATTATCAGTCATTTGGAATTCCAGCCCAAGAATTAATCTTTTGATCTTGAAGTGGTTTACCTCAAATATTTGCTTTCTCTGTACTATTATATCTCATAATAAACAGTTTGGGCCGCAAATTTTGGATTTGTATTTTTTTTTAAGTGGGATCGTGTTATAGACATGAAGGCTAGGTAAATCGCTTGTCAATTTGTTAGTGTCCAATATATCCTGCCTATAAAACCTTTTAAAAATACTTACAAAAAAATAAACTTAAAGGGGGGGTGGAAATTCTGCTACTGACTCATTCCTCATAGAGAAGCATTTAGTATCTCCTGGGGCAGTGTGTTAAACTTCTACTTCCAGTGCTGTAATTTCCACTCATGAATTCTAGAAGCCTAGGTAATGGAAAAGAAAGAGGTGAAAATCCCATGAAAGACACAGTGCTTTTAAGGACACTGTAATGAGATCTGCAGAAAAGTTATTGATCCATGCCCTTTCATTTTATTTCCAATATATATTACAGTAACATTATTTCCCTAGGAAAGTTCAGGGTATCCATCTAGGGATTTGAAGCAACAGGACAAAGAGTAAACCAGAATCTTAGCATATTCATTAGTAAAGAGTCCAAAGGTCTTTATGGAAATCCAGGCACCAGGCAAAGAAAGAAAAGCAAAATCCAAAGAACAGTTCTCCAGGTTCCCTGGACCATAATGCAAGTGATTAAAGAACATGGCAGCTGAGGAAGATGCCAGTAATAAACAAACATGTATTCACTTACATATGCACGTGCACATAACCACATGCATGAACGTGTTCCTGTAACAGAAATTACTGGTGCCACTCTACTAAGTCCCACAACCATATAACCTCATTTAAAGCAAGAATCCCTGTAAGACAGTTTACTTTCTGCAGACCACAAAGCAGGAATACAAACGAATCAGAGGTTTGCTTTGAAACATTCTGTGTGAGGAGGATGTAACGGGTCATTTCTTTGGCCAATCGTAGTACTTTTGAATGAAGTTTACAAGAAAATTAATTTTGAATAGTCTCAAAGTATAATTAAAGTCAATGTTATTTTGACATACAAAAGAATATGGAAGTATAAATACATTAGTTTTTCCCAAAAAATCTAAAGTAAGTCTGGGGAAGTCTATACTAAATGGGCTGTTATTATTTCTCCTTAATTGTATCTTCTTTAGAAAAAATTGTAAGGCCCTAAGAGCAAGCAGAGGAAATGTCCTTAACAATAAGACTACGACTCCTACATTCATCTCCCAGGAGCTTGAACCATTCACGCAAACGAGGAGCCAGGTTCTACCTGCCCTTCATTCCCATGTGAAACTGAGTTTCCATTGGCCTTTTTATCCCTATGTCAAGTCCCTGCCTCTGTGCATGTCTGGTGGATGAGAGAACTTAGGGGAAAGAAGCAGAGGAGGGAAAGACAGGAAAAGAGACCCCTTCATAGTGAATCTCTGATTTTCCAGGAAAGCCTCAGTTTCAAATATCTTATTCCACTGTCAGACAACATTAGTCTATTATGCCCTTAAATCTTGTTTGGCAAACATGATCCCTCAGTGTATAATAGTCACAGAATTAGAATCTGAATACAATTTCAATATTCTCCTTATAAAACAAGAATTATAAAATCCAAATCCTATTTATTGTTTTAAGGAATTCCTGAGACTGATTTACCTCTTGGCAAATATCACCATACATTAAAAAGAAGAAAGCATGAGACAGATGAAAGACCACGGGTTTTAGAACCAAGTGGATTTGTATTCAATGCCAAAACCATCCACTTATTCTACGGGCTTGAGCTAATAACTTAATTCCTGAGTCCCAGGTCTCCTAACTACAACAAGTGGATACCATTATCTCGCTCATAGAGCCATAGTGAGAATTAAGTGAGATAATATACAGAAGTTGCCTTGAACACTACTTAGTGTATGTTCAATAACTGCTACGATCATTCAATTCATTCATCCAATGTATCTGAATATGGATGACATGCTTTAAAATTTCTCAACAACATTAAAAACCAGGCAGCTGAATTATGCCTTGGTCAAGCTGTTTTTACTGGTCTGAGTTTGTGTGGGCAACACTATCCCAAGTTCAAGAAAATAATGCCAGCAGAATGTCAAAAGTGACCACGCCCCACCCCTGGCATTCCTACCTTGGCTGGTTCTCCACGGGAAGGCTCTCCCCCCTCTGGTAGCCACTGTCCGCCACCTGCGTGGTAGACCTCTTCACAATTTGCTTGAGTTCCTGCTCCAGGCGCTCTTGGATTGCCTTTACAGTCTCTGGGATCTTCTTCAGCTTGGCCAGGCCCTTGATGAGGACGCCCATAAAAAGAGTGCTGTTCTCCTCTGGGTCCAATTCCAAATCCTCCTTGATGTCCTGCAGATTCAGTTCCCTAGCTGCAAAACAAAACAGCAATAATCACAGACACAAACTCCATTCTACATTCACAAACAGAGCAGTCTAATAAATGGGATCACTGCATTGACTATGCCCTTAAAGGAATTCAAGAAGATTTTTCCATTTAAATTATATTTTCATAGTAACTATCTAAGAGTCACAAAATAACAGCTATAGTCTGCAAATCATACCCATCAGTAAGTAATAAGATGTAAAAGCAATTAAAAATTAGTATGCGCATCTCAGTGGGAAGTTTTCCAAAGACTATTACTTCCATGACTCTATTGGCTCATGACATTTAATAAGCACTCACACTGTTTATAAAATGCCATCTATGGTGCTGCCAGAGAATTCTAAAGAGTCAGATCCTATTCTCAAGTTCCTGTTTATCCTGCTTATTTCCAGTGATAAGCAACTGGAGAAAAAGACATTATAAGTACATGTAGAGGGAAGAAAGCGGAGTTAAAATTATAACAAATTTTAAAAGAAATAAAGAAACCTGAAGGAAAACAACAACATGAGACAAGACTTTGAGGAGAAAGAGTAATGAAGAGATATTTCATGAATAAAAAAGAACAACCTCCTACTTTTCTTTAAACATAGGTTTGCTATGACATCATCATCTATCAGAGACAGATCTTACTAATCACCCATGAAACGTTTCTGAGAAGTAATGTTATACATCAAAAGCCTCTGTAGGGTGGTAGTAAACAGCTCTCATCCAAACCCATTTGATTTTGGAATGGAAGAAACAGCCAAGAACAGTGGTTCTCTACCCTTGTGTAATGCTAGGGGGAGGAAGGGCAGCAGATTTACCAAAAGTCACAGTCCTTCGCTTCCAAATAATACATACACACCCAAAATTCCATACATGAACTCAGGGGCTTCCACAATTGCCAAAAAAACAGCAGGTTACAAATCTCTAGCTCACACGGAATGTTCTCGTTTTACAAATGGCTGGATTAAGACATAGAAAAGCAAAAGGGAGTACAGGTCTCAAGCTGAACCTAACAGTCAAGAGTTTTCCCCACCCACCTCTGCCCTCCATCCTTCAAAACAAATGGAAGATTTTTTAAACGTGTGATATATGAAAGAGTAAATGCATCCTTTTATTGCAGATTTAAGCTCAACTGGATGACACTCTGTTATTCAGTACTGCTGGAGGAATATTGGAACCCTCTTAGGAAAGAATGAACACACTCCAGGACATGTAGTAACTTCTTGGAACCACCACATAAAGTCTCTACAACCTCTACTTCAATGACGTGGAATCCTCTGGAGGCCAAAATCAGATTCTCAAAAATCCTTTGTCGAGGGCACCCAACTTACAAAATGCACTTGAGGAGGAATATGGAGAGACAGAGTAGGAAGGCCAGGAATCTCCCCCACCTACACAACTGCACTGGCAGAACCTCTCCAATGTAACCACGAGGGGGGACCCCCAAAAAACAAAATTTATTTCTAAAAATGTGCATTTATTTACATGTTTAAACACCAGTCATCTACAAAGTCCTCTCCATACACCTATGGAGATGCTTTTTCCGCTGCTCAAAATAGTTTTTGAACTCATCCATTTTGATGTCTCTTAGGATGCTTCTACCATTTTTTTGTTTCCCCTCTTCCACACAGGCAAAATGTTTCCCTCTGAGGACTTTTTTCATCCAGGGAAACAAAAAAAAATTGCTCGGGGTGAGATCAGGTGAGTAGGGAGGGCAGGGCATGGGGTTCATGCTGGGGTTTTTTGCCCAAAAACTGCTGAACACTAAATTAACTGATCCTTGGGACACAGACTGCCTACACTGATTCTTAAAAAACAAATAATAACAACATAAGAAAATAACAAAGCCTGGGAAAGAAGGAGAATCTGATTTTCAGAGTCACCACATTATTAGATTCAAGTGCCCAGTTTTCAACAAAATACCACAGGGCACACAAAGAAAGAGAAAAATATGGCTCATTCGAAAGATAAAAGCAAACCAACAGAAACTGTCCCTGAAAAAGACTTGATGGTAAATCTACTAAAGAAAAAAGCCATTTAAATGCCTGTCTTAAAGATGCCCAAAGAATAGAAAATATGAAGGAAGTCAAGAAAATGACATATCAACAAAATGACAATATTAATAAAGAGATATAAAAACTAAAAAGAAATCAAGAAATTTGGAAGCTAAAAAGTATAATACTTAAAATGAAAAATCACTAGAGGGACTCAAAGGCAAATTGAAGCAGATAGAAGAAAAAAATCAGTAAACTTGGATTCAAGACAATGGAAATTATGAGGTCTAAAGAACAGAAAGAAAAAACATTGCAGAGAAGTGAGCAGAGCCTACAGGACCTTTAGATCAAACACATTAACTTACACATTGTGAGAGCTCCAAAAGGAAAAGGAAATGGAGCATAGAGAATAATTAAATAAATAGTAGTAGAAAACATCCCAAATATTATGAAAGACATAAAAAGAAAAATCCAAGAAGTTCAACAAACTGCAAGTGAGAGGAACTCAAAGATATTTCACTTTGAAAAGACAAACACAAAGAGATAATCTTGAAAGCAATGAGAGAAGTAACTCATTACAAAGTGCTAAAAGAAAAAAAAAGGTCAATGAAGAATCTCACATCTACCAAAACTGTCCTTCAAAAGTAAGAGATAATTAAGACATTCCCAGATTTAAAAAAAGCTAAGGGAGTTCCTTACCACTAGAACTGCCCTGCAAGAAATGCTCTAGAAAGCCCTGCATGTTAAAAGTAAAGGACATTAAACAATAACTAGAAACCATATGAAGAAATACAGATTTCAGTAAAGGTTAATAACTAGGCAATTATAAAAACTATTATAATTGCAACAACAGTTTATAACCATTGTTTCTACATAAGAGACTGAAACATTCTGAAAACACAATTATTGGTCTAAAAGCTAATATTGTTGTAACTCTGGTTTGTAAATCCATAGTTTGCATTCTATATAGTTTAAGAGGCTAATGCATTTAAAATAATTACTTATGTTTTGGATCGCACAATGTTTAAAGATGTTATTTTGTGATATTAACAACTAAAAGAGATAGGGAAAAAAGCTGTAAAGGAGCAGAGTTTTTATATGTTATTGAAATTAAGCTGGTATAAATTTAAGTTAGAGTTATAACTTTGGGATGTTAAATGTAACCCCCATGGTAACCACAAAGAAAATTGCTACTGAATGTGTATCAATATAACATGAGAAAAGATTTAAATCTTTTACTACAAAAACTCAATTAAACACAAAATAATACAGTAATGTGGAATATGAGGACAAAAAAATGATAAGGCAGATGGAAAACAAATAGCACAATGACAGAAATATGTCTTTATTAGTAAATACTTTAAATATAAAAGGATTAAACTCTGTAATCAAAAGAGAGAGACGGGCAGAATGAGTAAGAAAACATGATCCATCTGTATGCTGCCTACAAAGGTACAAATAGATATCCAAAGGCACAAGCAGACTGAAAGTAAAAGGATGGGAAAAGATATTCCAAGCAAAGAGCAAAAAGAGAACAGGGGTGGCTATACTAATACCAGAGAAAAACAGGCTTTAAATCAAAAGGATTACAAGAGACAACGAAGGACAGTACATATTAATAAAAGACTCAATACAGCACAAAGATATAACAATTATAAACATCTATACACCTAATGATAGACTATCAAAATACATAAAGCAAAAGTGGACAGAATTGAATGGAGAAGTAGACAGTTCTATAACAGTTGAAGACCCACTCTCAATAACTGAACAACAAGATCAAAGATACATGAGAAAATAGAGGACTTAAACAACACAGTAAAACAACTTGATCTAACAGACACATACGGAACATGCTATTCCACAACAACATACACAGTCTTTTCAAGTGCATATGGGACATTTTCCAGGATAGATCATATGTTAGGCCACAAATTATGTCTCAATAGATTTATATAGATAGATATCATACAAAATATTTTCTCTAAACAAATAAGGATAAAGTTAGAAATCAATAACAGAGGTGAAACTGGAAAATTCACAAATCTGTAGAAATTAACACACTCTTAAAATAACCAAAGGAACAAAAGAGAAATCACAAGTAAAAACACAGAATTACACAGAGATAAACGAAAATGAAAACACAATATATCCCAATACTTATGGGACACAGAAAGAACAGTAATAATGGGGAAATTTATAATTATAAATACATGCATTAAAAAACAAGAAAGATCTCAAAATAACAATTTAAATTTACAACTTAAGGAACTAGAAATGGAGAACAAACTAAACTCAAAGCTAGCAGAAGAAAGGAAATAATAAAGATTAGTGCAGGGATAAACAAAATAGACAACAGAAAAACAATACCAATAATCAATAGAATTGAAAACATCAACTAAAAAGACAAATCTTTGGCAACATGGATTAAGACAAGAATAGAGAAGATGTAAATTACTAAATGAAAGTTCCTAAGTTCATAAATGAAGGCTGTATTACCACTGATTCTAGAGAATTAAAAATGATTATAAGAGAGTACAATGAATAACTGTACACCACCAAACTGTATAACACAGATGAAATGGACAAATTCCTAGAAACATAAAGCCTATCAACACTAACTCACAAAGAAACAGAAAATCAAAATAGACCCATAATTTGCCAGGAGACTGAATCAGGATTCAAAAACCTCTTGACAAAGAAAAGCCCTAGACCTAATAGCTTGACTGATGAATTCTATCATACATTTAAAGAAGAACACCAAATCTTCCCAAATTTTTCCCAAAAAGTAAAGAAGAAGAAGAAAAATGTCCTAAGTCAGTCTATGAGGCCAGCATTATCCCGATACCAAAGTTAGACAAAAATACTACAAAAAAACTATAGTCCGATATCCCTTACGAACACCAATACAAAAATCCTCAACAAAATACTAACAAACTGAATTCAGCAACATTCTTATAGAAAATACACTATGATCAAGTGGAAAATATTCCTGGAATGCAATGAT